ATTATATGCAGTTGCCCGCATAAATCTGGTATAGCGCTAAAATATTTGAAAACCAATTTTAAACGCAAATGTCTCAGGAAATATGATATATTTTATTAAGCAATTTTGAATTAATTTTATAGAAAGAAAATTATGTTGCATATCAATCTCTTATAGAACTATAATGCGTACATTTTCGTTTTAACGGTACTAAATATGTGTGCCTATAGTCTACCTTCTACCGAAAATATCAGTCAATCTACAAAGAAATCTCAAACGAGTATACCATTTGACTTTGCGAGAGTATAAAATGTTTTACATCCGAACTTAGCCCTTCCTTACTTGTTAATAGTTGGATTTTAGTTTGAGCTTTTACATCATAAAATTATAACTAAAAACTAAAGGTGTGAAAATCGTGTATACAATAGACAATGGCAATATTGGTGAAATGAAACAAAAGAGACAACTGATTTCTGCGTTGCAACTACGGATATAACTTTTGACAAATTTGGTTTATACGGGCGGTAACTAAGGTAAGGAATGTCGGTACTGTTTGGCATTAACACTTTAGTTGTTTCAAGTGATAAAAAAATAAGAGATCTTAAATACATGACATGCAAGGAATCGGTACCGATAAGAAAAATCAATATAAATTGTATTTTAAGAGAAAATCGTTAAGGAGAATTGGAAAAATAATAGGCGAAACTCATTCATCGGTACATAAAGTGGTAAAAAATTAAATTTCAACTTCATTTATTTTAACTACTACAAAACTACGTGCTGGTCGTCCAACCATCCTAACAAACAGCGAAACAAAGCGTGTCAATTGCAACTGGGAGTGGAGCAAAGGTTTTCTAAAGTTGTTTCCGATGATACCGTCCGTAGAACTTTGAAAAAAGCTGGAGTAGCACGTAAGGAACCCTATTTTTCGGAAGTGAATACGCAAAAACGCATGGATGGCGCGAATGCATATGTTTCAAAGCGCCTAGAATTTTGGAATAGCGTTATTTTTACGGACGAGACTAAGTTTTACATCTTCGGGATAAAAGGAAATAAACTGATATGGAGGAAAACGGGAAAGACATATGAAAAAGATGATATGGTGCCAAGTGTAAAACGTGGTGGAAGCGGTGTTATGGTTTGGGGCTGTATGGCAACGAACGGTATCGAAAAACTCACATTTATTGACACCAAAATGAACCAGAGATTATATAAAAAAAAATTTGAAAGATAATCTTTTGCAAAGTGCTCAGCAACTGGGGTTGGAACAGAGTTTTTGATTCCAACAAGATAACGACCCCAAACATACTGCGCAAAATGTGAAGCACTGGCTTTTGTATAATGTAAAAACCAATTGCGAACGCCTCCTCAATCTCCGAATCTAAACCCCATTGAGCATTTATGGGACTGGTTCGAGCGTAGAATCCGAAAAGACTTCATATCATCAAGAATTATGCTCAAGGATATAATAATGGAGGAATGCGGCAGAGGATACAGCGAAACTTGTGGATTCAACGCCCATACGTCTTATAGAAGGACTGAAGAGAAAAGGATATCCCACTAGATATTGAAAAATCGTATGACATTGTTTTTTTAATACTTTTTTTTACCGTAAGAGACCATTTTGTAGAGCACTCAATTTTCTACTAAATCCGTAAAACGAAATATGTTTTCAAGCATTTTGAAATGAGATATGAATCTTTCTATCCGATCATAAGAAAAAAATAGATAACGGTAAAGCGGAGGATCTTCCCGTTAAAATTAAGATCTGATACTTGGAGAGCGTTTCTTACCCTAATGTACATACATACTACATTTATAACATGATTGAATTTTTTCCAAATTTCTAATATGTACAATAGCATTACATTTTTGTAGGAAAATTCAATTCACAGTTATTTTTATTTTAGCACCTTAGGTATTTAATTCCTAGCTACCTGGCTACCTGGAAGTTTTATCTCACTATGTCCCTGTAGGTAGATACAAATATAAAAAAACATACATATACACATACATATGTATAGAGCTATGTGCTGCTTCGCTTTTGTACGTCACCACTAAATTTTAATGAATTGTTAGTAAAATGCTCAATTTTCTCATAGGTTTTGTTGTTGTTTAAACTATTCACACAGTATTTCTCGTTCATCAACATTTTGTATATTTTCTTGCTTGCAGAACGCTTGTTTTAGTTCTCAACTACTTTATCAGCAGTTCACCTTAAGTGTTTGCCATTTGGTGTGTTAAAGTTAAGAACTAACTTCAGGATCATTCTGTAGTCGTCTTCATTACTTTCTTTGCAATTCGAAAGTATTCGGGCCACGATGAGGAGGTTAATCGTTTATCTGACAGCGTGAGGTTTATGAACTTCATCCCAAATTTTGTCTATGGCAATTTGAGATGA